GACTAAACTTGATAGTAACTATTATTATAATGTCAGGTACTGGGCTAGGAACTTTTACACTGATAATGTTATTTAATGCTCATAACTGTGAGGTAGACATAATCTACACGAGACAGGAAGGAAAATTGTAGCTCCAAGGCTGAAGTGGTAGAGCCAGGATCCAAACCCAAACTTCATTACTTGAAATGTTCAAAAGCCTATGATCTTTCCACTACACTCTTGCTTTTCTAAATCCACTCTTTGGAATTACAGCTACTCTATTTCTCTAAAACAATTTCTTCTGGGGCACTGATACTCAAAACTAATCACAGATCTGTTAACAGATGAAGGAACAAGGCCTAACGTTTCACTTGTTACAACTGTTCCTTACTCATTGTATTACTTTGAATAAATCAGTTTTCCTCTTTGACCGTCAGTCACCTTTTGGATGTAGTTGATCTCTGAGGCTCTTTCTAAGAATCAAAAACTTCGGGACCCCAAAATGTCCTCTGTGTTATAAACACTTAGAGCTCTAACAACATTGTTTAAAATATATTTTCCAGAGAAAACGCTATTAGGTCAATTTAATTCTATTTAGCAATACTAAACCATTCTCAATTATTTACATTTTTATTTACTGAAATTATCTTTACTGAGATTAATTCCTTTGTAAAATTTAATGACAATGTACCCTATCCCTATCCATCGATCTGAGCTTTATTTTATTTTTCTGCCGATGTCACAAATTTCACCAATTAGTTTTTACCGCTGGTAATCTTCTTTTGTGGCTTTGATTCCTACACTCCTAATTTTTCCCGGAGTGCCTTATCCTTCTGGTTCTGGAAGTCTGGAGATCTGGACGTAAACCTACAATGGACACAAATGTACACCACCACCTCCTACACCTGACGTTAAGAAAAGCTAGTCCAGTGCATCCAGTATTTGGTAAACCAATTCATCTAATATCGGCATGTTAAGGGAAGTTTGCTATTAAAATTAAACAATACCCTGATGTGAGCTTCGTGGATAATAAACGAAACAATCGCCCGCTCTCCCCTTTGGACACACCCCGTCTCCTCCCCCTGGAGGCAGCGCTCTACGCGCATCTGTCAGCTGAAGGTTCCTGCTGGCGCGCACCTATGGGTGGATCCGGAGTCTGGAGAGCAACCAGCGGAAGAAAGGGGGACAGATGACTCCGAGAAGCCCCACGAAGCCCGGTGGGACTAGGCTCGGCTAGAGGGAGGGTCGGGCCTGGGGTCGCCTCTCCAGGCCCGCCCTGTGCCACACCCGAACCCGCCTGCTCTCGGTAACCGGCCGCGACGCCCGCCTCCGCCCGCCATCCCTCACCTCGCCTGGACGGCGGCCTCCAGGAGTCAGCGGCCTGCCTAGGTGCCGCGGCGCCACCCGCCGCCTCCTCCACAGCCTTAGCCCACCGGGCGAACCCGGCCCGGTCTCTGGCGGCCCGGGCGCAGGTAGGCGCCCGTGCGCATGCGCGAGTCTTGAACCTCCTCCCCCATTCGCTGCTGCTAAGCGATACCCGCACTCGAACCGACCAATCCTGGCGCGCCTCCACCGCCCGTCCCGACGGAGTGGTTAATGAACCGGTTCTTAAAGGGCTGCAACCCAAATGCAGAGGGGGCGTGGATGGGGAGCGCGCCTCCCAACTTTCCTACGCATCTCCCGACTCTCACACGCTTGGGTTTGAGGTCCAGGCCTGCAATTCCCACGTCTGGAGGTGCGAGGAGGCTTCGCGGTGTAAGCTCGATTCCTGCCAGGGTAGCGGACAGGACTGACAAGCCGAGGCAAGGAGGTTCAGCGTAATGGCGTGACACGCCCTGGGCGTGGGTTCCGCTGTTCGCGTGGCTGGGCGGGAAGCCCGAGATAGGCGAACCAAAGAGCACAGCCTCCTGCCAGCCTGGATGCGGTACCAAAGTCTAAGAACTTGCAGAGTGCGTGATTTAGTATAGGGCCTTGCGCCCTCTGACTGGTGCAGTTGGTGTGGCTCAGGGACCACAATGTGTTGAGCATTTTGGCTCTAGGCTCCAGAGGCTTCTTTTCCAGGCCTCTACCCCTCCACTTCCAGGGTCACAGTGTAGACCACTGCATCACCACAGAAGAACCTCACCTCTGAAGTTGCAAATGCAGACACCTGATCTCTGACTCACCTTTTAGATGTTCTCTGAATTCCTCCCACTGTTCTTCAGCCTGAAGAAGCCTGAAGTCCACTTGTCCTTCTACTTTGTTCTATTTATCACCTCCCACCAGGCTTCATTTCCTTCTCCATCAGCTGAAAGTCCGGGGTTCACCACTTCCATCACATTCTTTCCAAAACGCATACCTGCGTGGCAGCACTCCAACCCCGGAAAAATCCAACCTCTGCCTTCTCCGAATCTGCTTCTGGGCTACAAGTGCTGCTGAACACAATCTCACAACCACACAGATCAGTGCTATGTTTGTACATTGCTAGTCTCAACCAGGTCAGCAATACTGCCCAGAGTCCTGTGTTTGCCAGGTTGGCTCTCTCCATTTCTCCCCAACAGCAACTTCAAAATCCCCGGCAGGCTCCCCAGAGCTCCCACTTTTCTACCCCCTTGCTCTCCCACGTGCTTCCTTCACTGAGGAAAGAGCAACCATTAAAGTGATGCCACTCCGTTGCCACCTACTTCTGCCCCTCCAACTACCATCTTCTTTTCTTTTTCCCTTTTACAGACAAACTTCTTGGAAAAAGTGGCCTATGTTTGAAGACTCTATTGCTTCACCTTTCCCTTAATTGCTCAGTCCTCTGCAACTCTGACTTCTGCCTCACCATATTTCTAAAAGTTCCCTCATTAAAGTCATCACAGATCTACTTTCTATCTTGCTTGACCTTTCAACAGCATTTGTCATTGCTATTTGTCCTATCTCACGCTGCCCTGGATTTCCTCGTATATCTCTAATTTCTTTCTCCTCTCATTCTCCTTCGTCGTTCCTTTTCCTCTGCCGTGAGGGAAACCAACACACTCTCCTTGGGAAGTCTTATCCACTGCATGGTTCCAGTGAGTTCCCACAGTGATGCTTCTTAAAGTTTATAATGCCAGCCGAGTCCTTGGCCCTGAGTTACGGATCCAAATAGCCAGCCCCAGACTTCAACATCTCCATTTAACATCACCTCAAACTGTACATATCCACAGCTGAATCTGTCACTCTCGTTTCCAGTCCAGCTTCTCCTCCACTCTTCCCTACCTCCATGAATGGCATCACCAGTCTCTGAGTTGCCCAAGGAAGAAACCAAAAGTTATCCCTAATTGCTCCATCTTCCTCTCCCTCCACCATTAAGTAACTAAGGCCTGCTGACTCTACTCCTAATATGTTTCAAATGCATCCTCTTTTAAATTCCTCCCACCATTTCTGGCCTGCACACCTGCAGCAGCCTTCTCGCTGTTCTTTTTGCTTCTCATCTGGCTGCCTCACCTGCCTTTCGCCTTCCACCAGGAAAACTCTAAAATGCATCCCTGACGCCATTACTTCTCTACCTAAAACCATCCGTGGCTCCTGTAGATCCTAGGAAAGAGCCAAGACTCTGGACACCTGTCACCTGCATAACTTCCACTTCCTCTTCACATTGAGACATCTGTTCTCCTGGAGGGCTTTCTCTGTATGCTGGACCAGGTTGGTCTCCTGCACCTGCCCCACCTTAACTCCATCTGATATCATTGTCATTTCTCATTTGTCTAAACAGGAATGGGGCTGAGTAGGACTAATCAAGGCCCACACCCTGCTCTTGATGGTTCCTCCTCTGTCCACTCTGTTTTCTGCAGAACCTCTGGGGACTTTTCCTGGGGAGGGAGCCTGGTTTGGAGATAGCAATACAGGCTTGGGGACCAGGAAGCCCTGAGTCCTGACCCAGCTCAGGCATGTTGCCCCACTTCTCCCACTGGGTTTATCCATTTGTGAAATGAGACGAAAGCTGCCTCCTCATAGGGTTGAATTTTAAAAAAAAAAAAGAAAAGAAAAAGATTGTGGCGGGAAAGATTAACAAAAGCAGATGAGCCTGCTCTGGATCTGGGCCACCACTCAGAGAAATGACATTCTAGGAGGCAGAACTGCACTCAGACCTCTTTTGAGAAGTAAAGACTTCCAAGACTTCCAGAGGAACAAGCTTGGTATTCCCTGCCCAGCATGGGTGGGCTGGACAAGCAAGAAGACAACCACTTTAGAGTTTGGGTGGTTGTCAATGGTATAATTATGTGGCCCAGGAGGGTACGCTCTGCTTTCTCCCTGTATCTCTCAGCAAACTACTTCTGCAGTAGGTGCATAGGTGGTATGGAATAGTAGTTAAGAGTGAGGATTCTAAAGCCAGACGGCCTCTGCCCTTAGTAGCTAAGAGAACCTGGGCAGGTTACTTAACTTGTTTTCTTATCTGTAAAATGGAGAAAATAATAGCGCATTTTAGGGTTGTAAATCTAAGGAAAAATAGGCATTTATGCGAATTTCTCCCTCAGCAAAGGATGAAGCGCACACCAGTATTTTCTTGGGCCCTGCAAGGTCTGGCTTGGCAGGAGGCAATGCCTAGGGTTCACGCTCCAAACGTAAACCTAGAGGCACAAGAGTGTCAAAAGGAGTGGACTTGGGGGCCAGACATCTAGGTTCCAACCCCCATTCTCGTGTGAGCCCGGCACGGTGCTCCCGCAAGCACCATGCACTGCGCCTAGAAATGAAGGGGCTGATGACGGACCTCGCTCCACGTTATCTCTCCAGACTGCGCAAACGCGAAGGACCCGCCGATTGCTCAGGGGCCCCAGGGGCTGGGTCCGAGAGGGACGCTGAGCGTCGCTCCTGCGCGCCCAATCACAAGCGACATTCAGTCAGGTCCCCGCCCTCTAGGCGGGAGGACCCGTGATCTAGCAGCGCGGAGGTCCGCGGACCCCGAGACTCGGTTCCAGTCTGGCTTCCCGCGATGTCGGTGGCCTTCGTCCCGGACTGGCTGAGAGGCAAGGCGCAAGTCAATCAGGAGACAATCCAGCAGGTGAGCGCTAACGCGGGCGGAGAGAATGGGTTTCTTAGTCGAGAACCGGAAGGGCTGCGGGTAGCTTCCTGGAGTGAGCGGCAGCCCATCTGAGACTTATGGGATGGATGCCCAGGGTACTGACTTTCAGTGGTGCAAGTGAGATGGGAACAAAGTCAGCAAGGGGGCTGGGGCAGGACAGCCCGCCATTGGGCTATGAGACCTTTAGGCAGGTTACTTATCGTCTTGATGTCGCGCTGCGCTGACCCTTTTTATGATCTTTCAGCTTCTGGAGGAGAATGACCAGCTGATCCGCTGCATCGTGGAGTATCAGAACAAAGGCCGGGCCTATGAGTGCGTCCAGTAAGTCCCCAACTCCCTCCCCTTTGAGTGGAGGGGAAGCAGCGGGCCTGAATTAGGAGTCTTGGGAGATTGCTTGCAGATGAGAGTCAGGTTACTTACCTGCCAAAGACCAAAGGGACAGTACATTGTGAAGCCCAGAATCAGACATGGCACCCTCTTCAAAACTTGGATTACACTCACTGCAGTGCCTCCATCACGTAAAGCCATGACAGCTGATGACAGCAGGGGTGGGGAGGATAGCACACGGAAAACTAGTATTACAAGATGAGAGTGGTGGCCACTTTCCCATGGATTCCTGGCTCATCCTTTTTCTGTTAAGTGAGGAAATCATGACCATTTAACTGCTAAGTTCCCTCCCATTTCTAACTTTGTAACACACAAAAGCCAATAAAAGATTTCCAAGTTAAGGTAAGGTAAATTCTAAACAGTAATTTAATGTGCTTTCTAACCATATACCAAAATGGGAGGAAATAATCTCTTTTCTAAATGTAGTTCAGGAATTACACCTCATTTATTGTCAAAGGATATTATTTAATTGTTACTGAAGACATGTTTAAAAAAGCCATGCTTTCCCCACCCTCTGAAAAAAATACCTACAGCCCCTCAAACAGCTCAATGGAATAATAGAGATATCCGCTTTTGGATAAGTCTTTACATTTGACTCGGGCATTAGGTAATTTGCTTTTTTTTTTTTTTTAACAGTTTATAATAAACACTTTCTCATTTTTCTATATGGAAAATAGTTGTAAAACATTACATTTGGTGCAGTGATTCCCAACATATGGGTTAGAAAGTTATCAAAATCTCCTGGTGGGCTTTTACACATTGCAGAGGCCACGCTTCCTACTTCCTAGTCTGATTTGTCTTCCTGTCCCCCCGATTGAGAATCCCTTCTATAGAAAGTTCACATGGATCATGGGAAGTATCTCGTCCCTTCTTAAGTTTGTTAAACAGATATTTTATAACTACTACTGAGTACTAGGCACTGTTTCAGCTACTGGAGAATCAGATACTAGCTCTGCTGTCCTGGAGCTTACATTCTAGACTCTAGCATCTAGAGGGAGGAAATCATATAATTAGGCACCTGCTAATGAGCTCTTTGAATAAGAATAAAGCCAGGTAAGTACAGGGAGGGGTATTGTTTTATACAGGGTATCTCTGATGTGACATTTGAGTAGATACCCCCAGGCTGTAGCTGGATAGTTAGCTTCAGGTGGTAGCAAGGAGACTACTGTGGCCGGAACTCAGTGAACAAAGAGAAAGTGCTGGGAGATGAAATCAGAGAGGTAACTAGAGGCCCCAGTTACATAGGACCTTAAAGGCCACAAGAAGGACTCAGCTTTACTCAATGAGATGGGAGCCTTTGGAAGATTTTAAACAAAGGTAGGGCATGATCTTAAATTGTACAGTGATCACTCGGGTTGGTATATGGAGAATAGAGTAGGGGTACAAAGGTAGAGCAGGGAGTCCAGTTAGGAGACTGGTCCAATACCACAGTCTAAGCAAGAAGTGATAATAGCTTCGCCTAGAGAGGTAGCTATGGAAGTGATAAGGTAGAACAGGTAAGATTCTGGATATTTTTTCCTTAAATGTGTTAACAAGAAAGTTGATAACACTTTATCCAATTAATGGATAAACCATTCCACTAGAGAAGGTAAATTATTTTCCAGTTTCTAGTTCATATTCAGTAAAAACAAGCCTCTAATTTTTGCCTATTTCTCACCCATAGGTACCAACATGTGTTACATAGAAATCTCATTTATTTGGCTACCATTGCAGATGCCAACCCAACCAGTCCTTCAAAAGTAGTGGAATAATCTTCCAGTTGGCTGTTGTGAGGAGTAATTGAATGTAATCCGTTTCCTGAGAAATGGAGCTGGGAGCTTTACCAACTCGGCTGCGTAAAATATGAATGAAACCTCTGTGGCTCTTTTAAAAGTATGAAAGTATGAAAATATGAAGAAGCTACCAAGTTAACTATTTCAATGTAAATATTTATTTAATAATTAAACAGTTTCCCTCAATTAAGTTGCCGCCAGGTGTCCTCTTTCTTGAAATAGGTACATTTGGATAAAAAAAATAACAAAACATGGGCTTCTTCAAGGCTCCTTTTTTACAACCTGAAGAGGAAACTTAGCAGGTGTTGGTGATGAGCAGGAATTGGTGAGACTCCAGAATGAGACCCTGCCAGATGGACATGTAACTATTCTCTCTTCTCTGGAGTTTTTAGTTGTAGAACCCCTGACTGCTCTTTTCGAGTTGCTTTGAAATAAAGCTTGCCTTTCCACAAAAGGCTAATATTGAGGTATAGAAATGTTCATGTAATAAGTGTTCCATTTGGTTTTTCAGAAAAACCGTAGGGACTTAATATATACTTAATATACACCATTATCATTGCTAACAAAATTAATAGTAATTCATAATTATTAACTAATATCTAATAATAGATAATATTATAGAAGAGGAAAAATACCTTTCTTTTAAAATTCTCAGCTGGGACTGTAGTAAAAGACATTAACAAAAGAAAACCATACAGATTTATTTAATAGAAGTTTTACATGACGTGAGCCTTCATAAGGAAATGAAGCAGTTGAATGTGAGCATTTTTATACTGGGTTGGGAAAATGTGATAGGACAAAAAGGTATGAGCTAAGTGTAGTGAACTGGAGGAAACAGCAAGGCTTGTTTGTTCAGTTTCCGTGTCCCTCAGAGAGATAAGGATGCTCTTTTCCTCCAGGTATAGAGAGGGCCTCTCTCACATGCGGGTCTCATGACCTGCTTCAGGGAAGGTCAGAGTCTTTCTAGCATCTGCCATTTCTCAAATTCCTTCAGCTCAAAATATTCAATATGCCCGGGTGCCATATTTTTGAGTAGCGTGTCCTGAACCCCTTTAATCAGTTTTCAATTATCATAAAGTGTCTTTTGGTCTGAATTAGGATCTAAATAAGATTCACAGACTTGTTTTTTGTTGCTGTCCCTTTAGTCTCTTTAAAAATACTTAATCCTTTGTTTTTCTTTGCCAATTGTTGAAAAAACTAGGTCATTTGCCCTAAAATTTGTCAAATTCTGGATTTACCTAGTCGTATCCCTGTTATGTCATTAAATATGTTCCACTTTTGCCCACTTTTCCTATAAGCCGGTAGATCTACAGGCTCATTTAGACTCAGATTCTAATATTTTTGCAAGAATACATCATAGGAGGTGATGTTTTTGCATCACAATAGGAAGTGACCTGATTTATTATTAAGTTCCCAAAGCCTTAAATTATGATCTACTCATCTTTGATCTATTATTTCATTAGGGATTATATAATGGTGCAATCGACTGCTTAAAACATTTCTATTTTATTATTCCCTCTGCCTTTATTGGCTTTGTTCTGGTATGTGCTGCCTAAGTGAGCACTATTGGCTTTGTTTTATAACTTTTCCCCTTTGAGACTTATCTGTAAAACAAGGCAAAGAGATTATTTTAAGTAAACCCAAACTTAGAATATCAGGTTCGTGCTCCTTTCGCTGGACTCGAGGATTGCAACCTAGGGAAGCTATAAGGTGTAAATAGTGAAGAGAGACCTAATTTTGAGTCCAGATCTAGCACTCAACCTCTGAAAGCTGTTGCCTCACCTCTAAAATGGGAGTAATCAAAGCAGCATCTGCCCCTGAGGTTGCGAGATTGGGAGAACGGAGTTGAGAGCAGGGCACATGGTAAACACTGAATGTGTGTTGGCTCTGCTGTGTCATCTGACGGCTCTGGCCCTTTCTCGGCCTTCTCAAGTCCGGGAGGGGGCCTGTTTTTTGCTCCCTTGCCCATTCTGCTATCTTTAGGGTTCTAGCCCATTAATGGTCTCCTTCCCCCACTGGTCTTGGGGTTCGTGCCCATACTCTGCCAAGTGGGCTGCTCATGGGCCTGATCTGGTCAGCAGACAGGGTGGGCACTGTGCAGTGTTTTTATTTTGAATTAGTTGCTAACATTTAAAGATGAGAAGATTTCCCATTCAAGCCTGGATTTCTAGCAATGCTTATCTTAGAGATCCACAGAGCAACCAGCAGCTGGAGTGGGAAGGCAGCTGCCTGCCTTTACTAGGCAGCTTGACTTATTTGCATAGGACCTGACTCTGGCTGGGATGTGAGCACACAGGCTGGTGTTTCAATTTAGACCTCCCCTGAAGCACAGCCTGAGAGGAGGCCTTGGCACAGGTTGTTTATTTGGGAGATGATCTCAAGAAGCACAAATAAGGTAGTGGGGAGAGTGAGACACAGCCAATAAAAGGGTTTTATTACGGAGGTCACTGCTGTAGGCAATAGGGACTCAATTATTGTAGGAGAAGCATATAGAATGTCTCAGAAGTGTCCACCTGAGAGACACTGGTTGGGGGTTCCCCACAGGGGAGTTAGCGTCCCCTACATTAATAAGCAGCCTTTGTGGCCAAGTGGGCCCCAGATGTCAGAGGAAACAGAAGAAAGTAGAAAGTCAAGGGCAGCCCCAGAAGTGGGCTTCTGCCAGTGCAAGGTGGGTCTGACCTTGAGGGATTGTCTGCTACTGGCAAGGTGGGTGAGGGTCTGTGACAGAGCAACAAAGGCTCCAATGCCTACAGCAGTCACGTGCAGCTTCCTGCGTGGCAGGAAGTATACAGCCTTGAAGACAAAGCCCAGCTCTCCTCAGCAAAGAGTTTTGTGACCTGCTGTGTCCCCCTCCTTTTGTCTTGGATATTTCAGTGCACATGCAGAGAACTGAACTGGGGCAAATCAGAGCCTCTGAGAGTAGTCAAGGCTGCTTTAGACACAGTTTACCCTACACTCTAGACAACCCTTTTCTGGTGAGATACACGGGAGAAGCAGGCACGGGGCAACAAGCCATCATCGCGAGCATTCCAGCCCATCTCTACATATCTGCTTCAGAGACAGCCTGAAGTACAAGCATCTGCCATCACTTTTGAAGGACCCAGAGTTCGGTACAGTTGTGAAGATGATTTAAAAAGGCAAAGACTAAACCTGACCAGCCTAAATTAACCACCTTCTCAGAGAACCTTCTGCTTCAAGAGTACAGCCTCCACTCAGCCTGTCAGTCTTTTTCCAACTCCGGGTCAAACTGCTCTCCCAATAGCAGAGACTGTTGTCCTGGGTTTCCAAGCCTGGATTTGCAACTGGTGACTTCTGTCATTATCACATTCTTCTGGGATGAGGATACAGTAGCTAAAATAAGAGCAGATAATTTGAGGTCAGGTTTATTCCACAAAATGATATTTTTCTACTTTGTGAGGCTTCCTAACACCACAGTCTGACCTCTGGGGACTCCGAGTAACGACGTGGCTAGGGAGGAAATGATGCTCAATGCTATCTTATGTACCCTTGAGCCTTTGCAGTAAACTTCCATTAGTGAGTATATTTCTTGAGCAGGGTACGTAGTATCTTCATTTTACTGTTACTGTACCTCACACATGTATTGATTTGATTCCATTTTAATAAAAGCAATTTAAAGTTAATCTGTTCCCAATAAAAATTCCCAATAAAAATTCCTCTAGAATCCAGATGTTCTCCTTAGTCACTAGGGCATTCTCTTTCCTTCCTAAATCTTTAACAAGAGTATAGGATCCAAGGGGAGCTTGTTTTCATTTCTGTTGTCATTCATTCATTCATTCATTCATTTAAAAATATTTTTTGATCAACTGGTATGTGCTAAAGGTACTGCAGTGAGGAAGCCAGACAATATCCCTGCTCTCATGGAACATTTATTCCTGTATAAAGAAGACAATACAGTATAAATCTACTTATGGGGAGACAAACAATAAAGTATAAGTCATCAAGGAAAGCTTCACATGGTAATAAGTGCTCTGCAGAGAATTACAACAGGGAATATTCTGGAGAGTGTCTGGATGGCTACTTTATGGAGTCAGGGATGACCTGACAAAGTAATATTTCAGCTAAGATGAATAACAAGGAACCTGATATGTGATCATCAAGGGAACTAGTGCAGGCAGAAGCAAGATGCTTCATTTCAACTTTGTCTTTTTTTTCCTTTCTTGAGTCCATTATAGAACAGTATTCATCAACGTGCTCATCAATTCAATTATAATGTGAGTTCTCATTTGACCGGGCCTTGTGCTGGGCTCTACAGTGAGGAAAATAGAGGCGGGGCACTAGGCCCTGCTTTCAGGGAGCTCCTAATAAGCTTGGCAAGATAAAAGAGACCCATACCCAGGCACGGATCAGGAGACCATGTGGGGCCAGAGATGCCTAAGAAACTGTTTAGATGAGGCTGCAGGAACTCCATGTGGAAATTATCAAGTGCTTCTTATATATCATAGAAAAAAAAAATCTATGCTTTTGAATTCCTGAGCACTCCTTTGTCTGCAAACAAAAAATTCCCAATTGTAGCAGAAGGTGTCAGCTTCCAACTCTCATTCCCTTAATTTTACTCCAACTGCATTGAACTTTCTTCCTTTGTCTTCCAACTGACTCCCAGCAGTCCATTTCTGTATCTCTATTTCTGAGGACTTTTTCCTAAAACTGGAAGTCTACTTTTCTCAAGCATAGCAGGCTGGTAGATCCTGGGGATTATCCCCTGGAGAACAGCTCTCAACGAATGACTCAGGTTTTCCACAAAAAAAGAAATCTAGGATTTCAAAATATATGTTCAAATTTTCAGTATAGATAGATTTTTTTTTATTACCAAATTCTGGTAATATTTCTGTTTTTGCTTCATGGATCCCAAGATCACCTCCAGGTTGGATGACTGGCTAGAAGGACTAATAGGACTTAGCACATAGTCATACCCACAGCTATGATCTATTATAGCAAAAGAATTCAAAGCAAAATCAGCAAAGGGAAAAGGCGCAGGGGGCGAAGCCTGGAGGAAACCAGATTCAAATTTCCCTCTCCCAGTGGTGTCACATGAGACAAGCTTAATTCCTCCAGAGATGAATTGTGACAACATGTGAGGAATGTTGTCTACCAGGGAAGTTCATTACAGACTCAATGCTCCAAATTTTTATTAGAGGCTGGTCACATATGCATCCTCTGCCTAGCACATGCCAAAATTTCAGATTTCCAACAGGAAAGCAGGTGTTCCGCATAAACCATATTGTTTGTGCAAATAGTTTAGGCATAGTGAGGCACTCTTATAATGAAAGATTTCCATGAATGTAGGAAACATTACCATTCGTTTGCATCGAGATCACCCAAGGGCCAACCTGGTAAGTAGGCCTTTCTAAAGATAGCAGTCCCAGGCTTATTATGTTAATTCTTTTCTGCACAATTCCTCATTTAAGATCTAGAATATCCTTTTATTTAAAAAATAGTATAAGGAAATAAGGCAGAATTGTGTTTATAACTTCTCATTGGATTTTTCACACACTTCTTGTCTCTCTTTCTTAAGTTATAAAAGTATAAAAGTTACTTTGGGGAGAGGTTGGAGTAGGAATCCCTACTAGAGGCTGAACTGTGTTATTCTGGAGGATATACTAAAGAAGCTGAGAGGCAATATATGGATAAGCAACACGCCACTGAGATAATCATGTGTCCTTTCTTTGATATGTTAATATGGTGAATTATAGGAATAGATTTTCTGATGTTGAACCATCTTTGCATTCCTGAGTTAAAGCCAATTAGGTTATAATATTTGGGGTTCAAATACTGCTAAACTACATTTCTTAATATTTGGATTTTTAAATCCATGTTTATATAGAGATTGGTCTGTAACTTTCTTGCCATTTTTGGTCTTAGTATCACAAGATAAATTAGGTAACTCTCCTTTACTATTTTCTGAAGTTTTTGATTAAGAAAGGGATTATTGATCCCTGAAGATACAGTAAAATTTGCCTACGAAGCAATTTGGACCTTGTATTTTTTTGGAAAGAAAGACCATTTTTGTTAATTATTTTATTATGAATAATTTCAAAGATTAAAAAAATAGAAAAGATAAATAAAAAATCCCCACATACTTATCACCTAGATGCAACTATTATTTAGATTTTGCCACAGTCATTTCACTCATTACCCATTTTAAAATATATTTTTTTTTTCCTTTGGTGAAGCATTTTAAAGCAAATCCCAGACAGACATCATGTGTCTTCATCCCTACATACTTAAGTATGCAGCTCTAAAAAACCAAGGACGTTTTCTTACATAACGAAAATTTCATTATCACACCTAGCAAAATGAAATATATTTCCTTGGTTTCATCTAAAATCTAGACCATAATCGAATTTCTCATATGGCTGTGTCACAATGTCTTTCACAGTTGTTTGGAGGGAGATTGGGATTACTAATTTAATTTCTTCAGTGGTTACTGGTTTATTCAAGCCTTCTATTTTTTTTGAATCAAATATGGTAATTTCTACTTTCTAGAAAATCACGTATTTCATCTACGTTTCCCCACTAGCACTCCTGATTAGTTCCGTCACGGCCTTATCCATTGAAGTTGCAACTGCTGGTGTGATCCCACTCTAAAAAGCTAAATGCCCAGAATCATTACCAGAAAATTCCTACCAAGGGTTCTCCTTTGTGGTAATCACAGCGAAATTGAGCCTGAGTTTGTAAACTCCTTGGATAACAATTTTCTACCACTCTTGAGGATGAGGAAGAGGTATCAGTCCTATTGGTGGATGCTAGCCAGGCCTGCCTTGTCCTGGCAGTTTCTTCTCCTTAACCACAGACCAAATAGCATACCTTACCATCAAATCATCTGAAATATAATTTCAACTCACAAAACGAAAAGAATTTCGAGCAAGAAGGGAACTTAGATAAATGGCATTTCATCTTTCTTGTTTTACAGATGAAACTGAACTCTAGAGAAATAAAAAAAAAAAAAGAAAATGATCAAATGACTTTAAAAACTACTTTACACAGCTACCATCAAAAACAATTTTTTAAAAAAGAGCCAGACTGGAAGAAAATATTCGCAATCATATATCAAGAAAAGATTTTGACTCAGAACATACATGTATCATCTATGTAGCAAACACTTTTATCCAGAACTCTTGCATTCAATAAGACGAAGAATGCGATTTAAAAATGGACAACGGACTTGAACTGACTCATAGAAGATGCAGAATTGCCATGAACAGAAACTATCCCAATGACACGGGCGCCAAAGCAGGAACGCACACACATCTCAGTCTAAAAAGCCTCTGAGGTGAGACGAACGGTCTAAAATTAGGATGGCGTCATAAACTACTTCTAGCCGGGCTAAAAGGTCTGATGAATTTACTAAACCTCAACGACTTAATTCACATAGCTGGCTCGCGGCTGTCAACAGCGAAGCCTCGCGATATCGGGAGATGAGCGGAAGTTCACGGCCCTGAGGGACGACGAAAGTAGAGAGCGCAGGCGTTTCCAGGGCTCCCTGATTGGGCGACTGACTTCAATGGCAAAGAGGGAAGGGGCGGGGCAGAAAAGGACCAGCTCAAGTACAGGAGCGCCGGGCTGGAGGCTTCTCGGGAGAGCTCCCAGACACGCCTACGTGCGCCTCCTTTCGGTTAACCACCCCCTTCGAGACTGTGTTCTCGCGGTATTTGCCCCGACTCTCGCGGGGTTTAGCGTGGCACTAGGAGGCTGGGCCCGGGGAAGGGAGTAGTGGTCCGTTATCGGCGTTGGGCTCTGGCCGCTGTGGCCGCGCTTTCTCCTCTGCGCACGGGGAGCTGTTCAGGCTGGAGGCCAGCCAGGTGAAGAGCTCACCCGCTGTGTGTGTGTGTGTGCGTGTGTGTGTGTGCGCGCGCCACCTGGGAGCCGGGAGGCTCGGGGCGGGAGGGGACGCCGTCTTACCATTCTGCACTGTCGCGACAGGCTGGCGCGAGGCGACCGTGGCTCGGGCTCCGCCCCAGCCCCTGCCCTGGCTCCCGACCTGACCGCTTTCCTCTCCCTGTCTCGCAGCTCTTGCCGTCGCTTCGGTAGCGATGGGGGCGCAGGACCGGCCGCAGTGCCACTTCGACATCGAGATCAACCGGGAGCCGGGTGAGCCGGAGACTGGGAAGCCCTCCTGGGGCCCGGGCTTGCCTTGGGGAAGGGGAGGGGTCTACCCTCAACTCTCCCCCAAACCTTTTTGGGAGTGGGTATTCTACACTCCCTTTTCTCCTGAGCTAAAATCTGTGGAGAGAGGGTGGCTCGGCTACACCACTCCCACCCTACTAGGAGTCCAGGCCTCGCCCTCCCAAACTCCATGCCCCCTTGCACCCCGATACTGAGTGTTCATCCCATTCCTGGCGCCAAGAAAAGAGGTGCAATCCTTTTAGGACTTTTTCTCTCCCAGTGTCTCTAGGGGGCAACACTCCCAATTCCAATTTCAGTTATCTTCCTCTGTACTGTGAGGTTTGGATTCGTATATTCTGTATTTCCTAATTCTCGAATATTAAAGGGTTAACTCTGCCTCTATTATTTCTTAAATCTTTAGCCAGAATTTCTTGGTTCGTGGGAAAGTGATCTAGTCAAAGTTGTGCGATAAATCAAAGCATTTTGTACTAACAGACCTGCAGCATGCATGCATGCACTTAGCGTTAATGTGTTGTCTGTATATTTTGTTGGAAATAAAATATTTTCTCCTAAAGGGTAGTTGTTTCATTCTGAGTAGCAGAGCCTGTAGGGTTCCATACTGTGTTCTTAGCTTTTTTTGGTATCTGAAACAACTTTTAATATAGTCTTTGTGCAGCTTTTTTGTTCAGCAGATTCTTATTGAGAGCCTTCTACTCTTCTAGATCCTAGGGATACAGAAATGGATAAAACAAAGGCCTCACTTCCTTGTAATTTAGATTCTGTTGGGGGGAATACAGACAATAAACCAGGGGAAAAAATATAGTTGCTTGTAGTAGGGGTATTATTTTAATAGTTTGGTCAAAAAAAGGCCATTTTGAGGAGATGACATTTAAGCAGACATCTGAAGGAGATGAGGAGGTGAGCCATGTGGATATCTTTGAGAAGAGCATTCCTGGTAGAGGGAACAATTAATCCGAAGGTCCCCAGGAGGGAGTATATGTACTTACACGTTCAAGGAACGTGAAGAAGGCTAGGGTGGCTGGAATAGAGGGAAAAGAGTAGCAGGAAATGGCTGTAGGCCCTTACTTAGTAAGGACTTTGACTCAGTGAGATAAGTTATTAAAGGGATTTGAGCAAAGGAATGATGATGTGGCCTTAGAAACTTTGTTGCATTCTCTCAGGATGTTTTGACCCTTGATGAATCCTTATTCATAGTGAATCTACACTTGACAACAGGGCTTTTTTTTTTTTTTTTTTTTTAAGAATTAAAAACAAACTCAGAAAAGTATAAGTAAAACAAAGATTCTTTAGACATACAGAGTACTCCTTTCCTAGTACATGTTCATATCCTAGATTTGAAAATAACTTGTGAAAAATCTCCAGACTATGTTTTGTAAATGTTGAGTGAACTTTGGTCCCCGGCATCCAAGGTAATTCATTATAATACCATCCAGGTGGAAGTGACTAGCACTCTTGAGAAGACTGAATCATATACAGACAGAATGCTTACATTGTTTTAGGTTGAATCCATTGGTAATTGGCAATTTCTTATGGTTCGTTCTCATGTAATACTTCTTTAGCACTTTCAAGTACTAGATGCTTGATTTTTACACTTTTAAGGATCATTTCAGTTGCTTTGTGGGAGTTAACCATTAATATGTTTGTCTTTGAGTAATTTAATTACTTATTCAAGTAATACTTGACTTCTTGTGTAGTTAATAATTCACTTGATGGAAATACAGAGTAATATCTTTGATTTACTTTGATGAGCAAAGATCCTTTAAGAGTAACTGTACTGGCCACATTAATGAGATAGAGAAGTATTGATAAAAATTGAGTCGAATACAGCACAGCATGCTTTCTCATTATTATCAGTGGAAATGTATATGTTTTATAACAATCATATGTATATGTTTTATAACTAGACTTTTGAATTATAAAGTCATCTAATGAATACAAGTATATGTTAAAAGAGGGAAAGTCTTTAAATTACATATGAGTTTTTCTTTCCTAAGTCCAATAAGGTGGTTCCTATTTGAAATAATTCCAGGAATGTTCCACAGAAAAGTTTTTTGAAAGGTTTTAAATTAAGATTTTCATTTCTTTAATAGCTAAAGAACTATTCGTGTTATTTCTCTTTGAATGAGTTTTGATAGTTTGTGGCTTTTAAGAAATTGGTCCATTTTATCTAAGTTATTAACTTCATGTGCATAGGGTTGTTTGACCTAGTCCCTTAATATCTGTGGGATCTGTAGTGATATCTCCTCCTTCATTCCTAATATTGATAATTTGTGCGTTTTGTCTTTTTTCCTTGGTCAGTTTGGCTAGAGGTGTATCAATTTTATATTTCAACCAGATTTTTATTTCATTGATTTTTTTCCTCTTGTTTTCAATTTCACTGATTTTTACTCCTATCTTTATTTCCTGTCTAATGCTCGCTTTGGCTTTATTTTGTTCTTTTTCTTGTTTCTTAAAGTGGAAACTTGGATTGTTGACTTGAGACCTTTCTTTTCTAATGTCAACATTTAATGCTGTAAGTTTCCCTCTGTATGAAGGACCCGACACATTTCGTGTACCCCATGAATTTTGATAGATTGCTTTCTTTCAGTTCAAAATATTTTCTAATTTTCCTTGAGACTTAGTCTTTGACTGATGAATGATTTAGAAGTGTTTTGATTTCCAACTACTTGAATATTTTGCACTTGTCTATTAATGATTTTACTTCTTTCAGTTCTCTTACTTTTTGCTTCATTTAAGACTCTTCTGTTAGATGGATGCGTACACATTTAGGATTGTTATGCCTTCTTACTGAATTGACCCTTTTATCATTATGTAATGATCCTTTTTATTTCTGGTAATTTTCCTTGCTCTTAAGTCTACTTTGATACGAATACAGGTACTCCAGCTTTCTTTATATTAGTGTTTATATGGTTTGTCATTTTCTGTCCTTTTTCTTTTAACCTACTTATATCATTATATTTAAAGTGGGTTACTTGTACATAGCGAATAGATGAGTCTTGTTTTTTTATTCATTCTCTCAATCTCTTTTAATTGATATATTTAGACTGTTTACACTTAATGTAACTGTTACATTTGGATTTGTCTAACACTTGTTTTTACTTTCTCTGCTTTCATTCCATTTTCTTGCCTTTTGGATTATTTGAACATTTTTTAGTGTTTTTAATTTTTATATTGAATTTTTGATGTTTTTTCTATGGTTTTTTAGTAGTTAACTCTAGAGATAACAGTATGTATACATGGCTTTTCATAGAGCGCTGAGAATTAATATTTGCCACTTCAAGTGCACTGTTGAAACTATCCTACTGTATGATATTCCTTTATCTCACCTTATGTTGTATTATTATTTGCCACTTCAAGCGCACTGTTGAAACCATCCTACTGTATAATATTCCTTTATCTCACCTTATGTTGTATTTGTCATATGTATTACAGCTACATTGAAAACTTGCTTTCAATTGTTACACATACTTGCAAGAGCTTAAAAGGAGAAAAAAATATTTTCTTTAGGCAGGAACCGCCATCTTTCAGTAATCCTCCAAAATGACCAACACAAAGGGATTCTTGGGAAAGCCAGTTGCCATGAATGGGCAGGAAAACAGAGTTGTTTCTTTGGCCACATGCATGGGAATCTACAAGAAAGGTGATACTGTAGACATCGAGGCAGTGGGCACTGTTCATAAAGGAATGGCCCTCAAATGTTACTTTGGCAAAACTGGAGGAGTCTACAGTGTTGCCCAGCATGCGGCTGGCCATGTTGTAAACGGACAAGATTCTCACCAAGAGAATTAATGTGCGTATTAAGGACTCTAAGAGCTGAGGTAGCTTCCTGAAAGATGTGAAGGAAGGTGATCAGGAAAAGAAGGAAGCCAAAGAGAAAGGTACCTGGGTTCAACTGAAGTGCCAGCCTGCTACGCTCAGAGAAGCTCACTTTGTGAGAACTAGTGGAAAGGAGCCCGAGCTGCTGGAACCCATTCCCCGTGAATTCATGGCCTGACAGGCGTAAAAAAAGAAAAAAACCTCTGTACTGTTTAAAAGAAAAAATACTCATATTTAGCCACATTTTTACCATTTATTTTGCTTTGTTCATTCTTGAAGTTCCAATTTCCCTCTGGTATCATTTCCCTTCCACCTGAGGAGTGTTTAGCATTTTTATAGAGCTTATCTTCTGCCAGCAAATTCTTTGATTTCCTTCACCTGAAAATTTTATTTTGCCTTTATTCTTGAAAGATATTTTCACTAGACGTAGAATTCTGGGTTGACACCTATTTTCTTTTAGCGCTTGAAAAATGTTCTGTTGCTTTCTGGTCTATGTGGTTTCTTATAAGAAATCCATAGTCATTCAAATTGTTGTTACCCCATATGTAATGTGTTATTATCTGGCTGTATTCAACATTTTTACTTTGTCTTTAGTTTTTAGCAGTTTGATTTTGCTGTGCCTGGGTCTGAATTTCTTTTTATATATTCTCTTTGGGGTTTACTTATTTTTTGAATCTGTCTGTCTTTGCTAAAGGAAAGTTTTAGGAAGTTTTCAGCTATTATTTCTTTAAATATGTTTTCTTTCCAGTACTCCTTTTTCCTCTCTTTCTGGGACTATGATGACACAGATATCAGATCTTTTTCTTTTTTTTTTTAACGCCTACAGCACCCTGTCTTCCTAGGTGGTCTCCCATCCAAGTACTAACCAAGCCCGACCCTGCTTAGCTTCCGAGATCAGACGAGATCGGGCTTGTTCAGAGTAGCATGGCCATAGCAGATCTTTTGATATTACCCAACAGGTCTCTTAGGCTCTATTCATCCTTTTTTTTTTTTTCCCCCTAGTCTTTTCTCTCTCTTTTTCATATTGGGTAATTTCTGTTAGTTGGTGTTCACATTCACTGACTTTTGCCTATGTCATTTCCATTCTGTTGATGAGTCCACCCAATGAATTTCTCATTTTGATTATTGTGTTTAGAATTTCCTTTGGG